TTGTGGTGCCTGCCCTGTCACCTCAGGTGGCCTGGCTGTACAAGAGGCAGAGTCAGATTCAGAACCAGGAGGACACAGACCAAGACTCTGACCCAGACCTGGAGTGTTTCTACTAGGCTCTGCCCTCCGGGCCGGGGCAGGGCCAGCGCCTCTGGCGTTAATACGCAGATCTGGTGTGCAGTGTGTGTGAGGGTGTGGTTTAAAGTGGGATTTAGTAATTTTTTAAAAAAATAAATAATTATCAACCCCCTGCTCCGTGTCCAGGTCTTGCCGGGCTTGGGGGAGGCTCTGATAGCTCCACGTGGCGGGCACGTGCCAGTGTGCCAGGGGCTGTCTGAAGCAGCGCCTTCCGGCAGAACTTGGCAGCGACAGAAACATCTTCCACCCGCCGTGCAGTGTGACAGCCACCGGCCAGCCAGCGAGCACTTGAAATGTGGCTGGTGCAATTGGGGACATATGTTTATTTTACTTATTTATTAAAATACTAGAGGCCCAGTGCACAAAATTTGTGCACTGGGGGTGGGGGTGGGGGTCCCTCAGCCGGGCCTGCACCCTCTCGCAGTCCAAAAGCCGTTGGGGGATATCTGACTGATGGCGTAGGCCTGCTCCCTGAAGTCAGCAGTTGAACATCCTTAGTGGACATGTTCCTATGAAAGATTTCTTCAAAACCCTCCTCTTCTTTCATTTTTTTTAGTTCCTTTTATCTCCCTTCTTTTTCCCCTTTCCCTTTTCCCCCAGAGAGAACTAATGTGTTTAATGTGTCTTTTTTAAGTGGGGTTTTTAATGTGTTGTTTTGTGCGCATATATTTTGTATTTTCATAAACAGTATGGCATGCCCTCTATGATCCTTAGGGATATATATTTATATTTATATTTATTTATTAATTTCAGAGAGGGAGAGGGAGAGATAGAAACATCAATGAGAGAAGCATCAATAGGCTGCCTTCTGCATGCCCCCTACTGGGGATTGAGCCTGAAATCGAGGCATGTGCCCTGACCAGGAATCGAACTGGTGATCTCTTGGTTCCTGGGTCAGTGCTCAACCACTGAGCCACACTGGCTGGGCGCTATTTCTTTTTAATTAAATTTCACTTAAGTAGCCTCATGTGGTTAGTGGCTATTGCATTGGACAATGGCAGTCTCAACGTTATAAACTCATTTAACCTCCCAGCCACCTAACCAGGGGGCCACTGTCCCAGAGGGGGACGGGGACGCACAGAGGAGGGAAGGGGCTCGCCCAGGGCCGTAGCCGGGAGAGCTGGCTCCAGGTCTGACTCCAGTCTGGCTCTGGGCCCACACCTTTCAGGGACAGGCCTCCTCCTGTGGGAGACAGGAAGTGCAGTGACGTGTGAGACCCAGCTCTGCCACGCACCCCTGGGGCCAGGCCTGGCCTCAGCCCTCACAGCCCCCTGGACCTGACCGCGGGGGGCCGGCAGTGGCTGTATGCGTCTCGCTCACCCTAATAGCCCCAACCCCCAGCACCACGCCCGGCCTGCAGTCTGATGGAAAAGGAGCCAGCCCTTCCCTTCCCGCCTCACCTGTGCGCACGGTGGGGGGTCCTGAGGGACGAGTCCCTTAACCAGCGAACCCAGGGCAGCCGCTGTGGGCGGCTTCTTGTCCTGGGGGCGGCAATGACCCTCCGACAAAACGGCGTTTGTTTCTCAGCTAAGAGTTCCTAACAAGCTCTATCTTAAGGGACTAGTATGCACCCATATTCATCAAGTTCAAGCAAATGTTTAAGGCAAATAGTATTTGTCTGATTGGGTGTTAAACATTGTCTGGGAACCCCGGTGTCTGTCTTGCTCTGTGCGGAGCCCCGTGGTTCCTTTAAGTGTGCAACTGGGTCTTCCTCCCCACGCCCCGCAGGGCCTCTGGGAGCATGTCCCCGAGCAGGCATGGCCGCCATGTCCTTCTGCCAGGGCTGGGCAGGGCCATCACTCACCAAAGACCTTCATGACACCCCTCTAGGTCGGTACTTTTTAAATAAAATTTGATTTTTTACAGAGAGGAAGGGAGAAGGATAGAGAGTTAGAAACATCAATGAGAGAGAAACATCGATCAGCTGCCTCCTGCACACCCCCTACTGGGGATGTGCCTGCAACCCAGGTACATGCCCTTGACCGGAATCGAACCTGGGACCCCTCAGTTCACAGGCCGACGCTCTGTCCACTGAGCCAAACTGGTTAGGGCTAGTTGGTACTTTTATTACCCCATTTAACAGACGAGGACACTGAGGCACAGGGGCGGAAGGTACTTTCCCTCGGTCCAGTGCCCAGGAAGCAGGACCAGGATGTGCTCCAGGCCGCCTGCAGGAGCCCCGCGTGCATTGCCACTAACCAGTGTCTCCCAAGAGCCTCGCGTGCCCCTGCCAGGAGGTGGCGCCTTCTGCCCAGGCACATGCCCAGGCACGGAGGTGGCAGGTCTGGGCGGGAAGAGATCGTGCTGAGGGCTGGAGTATAAGACACGGAAGGGGTGAGCCTGGCGTCTGAGGGAGCAGAGACCATCGTTCCCCTGGTGGAACCACGCTCCTTATAAAAACGGTTGAAACCCATCAAGGGGAGAGGATGCTGGGAGCTTGGCTCTGGGATCATGTGCCTCAGGGAGGTTGGCAGGAGCAGTAACTCATAATCGCATATGAATTAAAGTGCGTCATCTCTATTTGACACGTTACTGGTGATGTTTGTTTTAATCCTTCGATTAAGATAGTGTCTGCCTGGTTTTCGTGGGGAGCGGCTACAGTGTTTGGACAGTTTCAAGCCTCGGACTGAAGAGAGGGCACAGTCCTCTCATGGCCACGTGCAAGTCCCAGCTTGGAGGGCAGGGCCCTCCCAGCACAGTTAGAGCCAACGGCTATAGCTGTAAGCTTGACCTATGGTCCGAACACTTGGCCCCACGTGCCTGAGTGATGTGGGCTTGATAGAGTTCAGGTGCATGTAATCGAGTAGGCTCGAAACCCACGAGAATGCTGTAAACATCTTGGCCACGCCCTTACTTTGCCTCATGGAAACTGGCTATAGAATAAAGACACGGCATGTAGTCCGAGGCGCTGTGTCTCTCCATCCGAGAGGGCAGCGTCCCACCGAGACCCAGCTTTCTTCTCTTGTCTGTCTTTTCTAACCCTTCACCGCCCCCTCTCAGGGTCATGGAACCTGACTGAGCTGGTGCGGCCCAGTTTCCTCTATAAAGCAGCTCTCCTCCGACATTAGTATTTTGTCAGGAGGTATTTGAGCTGGGTAAAAATTGTCAAACTTTCCACCGATCTTTTTTTAAAAAAATCCGTGTGGCCCAGCCAGTGTGGCTCAGTGGTTGAGCATCAACCTATGAACTAGGAGATCACGGTTGGATTCCCAGTCAGGGCACACGCCCGGGTTGCAGACTTGCTCCCCAGTGGGAGGCATGCAGGAGGCAGCCGATGGATGATTCTCTCTCATCATGGATGTTTCTCTCTCTCTCTCTTTGAAATAAATAAAAATGTATTTAAAAAAAAATCTGTGTGGACTCCCAGTTTCCTGCGTTATCTATATAATTAGTTATTGTTTATTTTGATTTTTGATTTGCCCTGATGTGGCCGTGGCACTTCCTCAAGCCAACCTGCGTTCTGACTTGTCCCCGTACCTGCCCACCCCTCCTTTATGGCAGGACAGGATGTCCCAGGCCCATCTTACACGTGTCCTGGCCCGGGCTCGGAACCGGCCATTTCTCCTAGAAGCTGGCTTCCTTTTAGCAGAGAGGTATCTAGAAGCCAAGAGCTGGATGCGAGAGGTGCTCACTAACATCAGGTGTCGCTGCTCCCCCTCTGAGAGAGCTAGGGGATTCACAGTCAAGTGCCCTACACACCCCTGCCCCCAGCTCCAGGCCAGCACCACAGGGCTCCTCCTCCCCCCGTTTCTGTATTAACAACTCCTTTTCCGGCTGTGAGAAGCCGGACCTCCGTTACCCTTCACGTGATCCATGTGTGTGACCAGTCTCCCATCTCCATTGCCACCCCACCTCTGTGGGGACCCCTTTCTCACGCTGATCTGGCTTCAGCAGCCGACACCATGCCGCCCCCACAAGTGGACGTCCTTGGGACACCCCCCCAGGCTAGGCGATGACACCTGCATCGATTCCCTCCTCCGCTCACGCTCACGCTCCAGCTCCCACACTGGCTGCTCGCCTGCGGCCCATCCTCACCTTCCCGGGCCCAGACCCTCAGGCCGGGCTGCCCTCTGTGGGGACACCTCCCTCGCTCCAGACCCTATTTGAACTCTGGCTCCCCACAGTGATGGCCCCCACTTCTCTCCTGACCCTCATCACCTCTTTGGGCTCTGATCACGTGACATCTCTCCTTGACCCCGGCGCCAGCTAGATGCCCGCCTTGGTCTGTTCCCCCTCACCCCCCACCCCTCTACCAATTCCCAAATTATCCAGAAAGAAAGGAAGAGAGGAGGTGAGCACGGGAAGAGCAAATACCAACCTCTGAACCACTGCGCACGCCTCCTTCCTGAAGGCGGCCACCTAATTCTTGCATCCTGCCCGTCGGTGCACGTTCGGACGTACACAGAAGCTCCTCGGGGCCTGACGAAAGGTGCCCGTTGGACTCAAGCAGGCCTGGCCCTGCCGCTCACCGATTGCATAAGCCTAAAGCAAGTGGCTTCGTGACTCAGCCTCAGTCTCCTCATCTGTCAAATGGGCAAGTGTTACCGGCCTCAGGAGTCGTTCCGAGGATTAAGTGACGTCAGGGACGCAAAGCCCTTTGCACAGGGCTGGGCACGTAGCAAGCTACGCAAGGCCATCGCTGTATGAAGTCCTCTCCGTCTTCACAGGCCCAGAGGCCAGCAGGGGCCAGGCTCCGAGTGACGCCGCACTAGTTGAGACACCTAATGAACGGCTGCCCTCTGCTCGAATCCCCACTTTTTAAACTCTAATTCCATTCTGGGGAGAAAAGGTCAGAGCCTGCGGCCAGCTGCCCCTCCGCCTCACTCAGGCCAGATGGGGAGGCAGGGACGCTCTGATCCCTCCCCGACCAGAGGAGATTTCCGCCCCAGCTGCCACAGCTCTGTGTCCCAGGGCCCCGAAACCAGGAGAGGCAAAGAAGTGACAGAGAAGAGAAGGAGGCTGAGCCACCGAGGGGGACCGGGAGCCGTCTTGAGATTGGTGCCTGGTGAGCTCCGCCAGCCCGGCCCCTCCATGCAGTTCCCCACGGGCCCCGCCTGCATCTTCCTGCGGAAAGGCATCGCTGAGAAGCAGCGGGTGAGGCCGGGACAGTGGGAAGGGGGGCGGGAGCAGTGGGTCCTGGAGCAGGTGCGGGGAGCGTGAGCTGAAGAGAGGAGGCTCCAGGGAACACGCTGGGGACATGAGGGCTGGTGGAATGGGTGAGGGTGAAAGGGGGCAGGTGCAGGGGGTGAAGAAAATGAAAGGGGACTGGGATGATGTCAGTATCGGGGACCACCATTTTTTCCCGTGGACGCCCTCAGTGGTGATGATGATGAGGGTAGCTGCCACTCACTAAGTCACTGCTATGTGCCCAGCCCAGTGCAGAGGGCTTTGTGTCCCTGATGTCACCGAGTCCTCAGAACTACTGAGGTCGGTAATACTTTCATTCCCATTTTACAGATGAGGAAACTGAGGCTGAGTCATGAAGTCACTTGCTTTAAGCTTATGCAATCGCTAAGTGGCAAGGCCAGGTCTGTTTGTTCCAATGGGCACCTTTAGTGAGGCTCTAGATCTATATATATAAAAGTCTAAGCGACTGGACGACCGGTTGACCGGTCGACCGGTTGCTATGACACGTACTGACCGCCAGGGAGCAGACGCTCAGCATCGGAGCTTCCCCCTCCATGGCCAGTGCACTCCCACAGCGGGAGTGCCGCTCAGCTGACCTAAGGGGAGCCAGACTGGCAAGCACAGCTGTGTCGCGAGCCTCTCCCGCCTCCATGGCAGTGCTACCGAGAGGAGGCGGCAGGCACAGTGGGGGCCGGGCTCGGGCTCTTCCTGGTCGCCTGCCGCTTCTACTACATCCCTCGGGGGATGTCGGACTGCTGGTTTCGGCCCGATCCCCGTAGGCCTGGCCCCGAAACCGGCAGTCCGACATCCCCAGAGGGAATGTGAGAGGGTGCAGGCCAGGCCGAGGGACCCCACCGGTGCACGAATGTGTTAGCAAGTCTAATAGGAATAACAGAAAGAGGAAGGGGACACGGGGGAGGGGATGACAAGAAAGAAGCTACGGGCAAGGCTCCGAGGATAAGGGGAAGCAGGGGTGAAAGAGAACAGAGGTGGGTGGAGTTTCCCAGGTGGCGGCCTCGTGGCCAAGCCTGGCCCTTCGGGGATGCCCAGGATGGTGGCAGCAGAAATGACGGGGAATTCTTAAAGGTTTTAGGGATTGGTCCTGCTGGCACGGATCATCCCTCCTGGCCGCCACTGGACACAGGTCCCATACAAAGGGATGCTAACTCTTGGGAGAAAGGATCATGGGCTGTCGTGGAAAGAATTCCGACCTGGGAGCCAGGAGCCCTGAATCCACATCTCAGCGCTCGCGGCAGCCGGAGCTGTGTGACCTGGGCAGGCTCCCTTGCCTCTCTGTCCCTCGGCTCCCTCGTCGATAAGATGGGCATGGTCTTTGGGTTGACCTCACAGAGCGGTGCTGGGGTTCGAATGAAGGGATTGTGGGAGCTGCCCGGCGTGGTCAGCCATCAGAACACATTAGCTGTGATTGTAAGACTCACCTTCTCCATCTGGAGGAGGAGGGGGCTGGATTCGGTGGCCTCCGAGATCCCGGTCGGTCGGCACAATGGGATGGCTGTCTCTTTGGGAAAGGCGGAGGGAGAGAGATCAGGATTCATGGATGGGAGAGAGGCAATGAGAAGGGTGAGGAAGAGGGTGAGAAGCAGATTGCTGTGGGACGGGAGTCAGGAGACAGGAGAGAGAAGATGAGAGGGTGCAGGGAGCAGGGACTGGAGGAGAGACGGGGAAGGGTGAAGAATAGCTTAGGAGACCGTGGGCACATGTTTGGAGAATTGAATGTTGGATCCCTGACCCTCTCTCCAAATTCCATCTCCAGGAAAGACCACTCGGACAAGATGAGATCGAAGGTAACAGCACTCTCTCCCCCAAACGCCCCCTCATCACCACCCACCCACTTGCCTGCTCCCTGTCCCTTCGTGCTGTTCAGTGTAAGTCCCCTCACGTGAAAATTTCACGTTGTTCTCTTTCCACTCAGCGGTGATTTTGTGGAACCCTTTCTCATGGCAGTGTAGGTACCTCCTGAAGTATGTACAAGGCATCCCCATCCCCAGGTGTCTCAGAGACCCAGGGGTGACACCTGAGATTTAGAATGAATAGAAAATTATTGGGTTTTTCTTTGATGGTTTTGCACTTTCCCATAACTTCACCCAGGAATTCAGTGCCACCGTTTGGTGGCCTCCTGCTAACACATTTCATACATCACTCCTTTTTGAAATACTGGCTTTTAAAAACATGTTCTCCTTCGAGGAGTCTCTAGTCTGTGCCTCATTGATGGTTTCAAGGGTCACCACTCTTCCCCATTGACGGTTTCGAGTTTTTTCCAAAGTTCTTCCCTCTTAACTTTCAGAGCTCCGGGAGGCATTTCTTGAGTTTGACAAGGACCGAGATGGGTTCATCTCTTGTAAGGACTTGGGAAATCTCATGAGGACAATGGGTTACATGCCCACGGAGATGGAACTGACTGAACTGGGCCAGCAAATCCGCATGAACCGTGAGGCTGGGGAACGGGGGGTGGGTGGGGGGCGGATTACTGGGGTGAGGGGAGTGCTGAGGGTGTAATTGGTAAGGTTGGAGAGGCTGAGAGTAGTTGGAGATAGGGAGGAGGGTAAGAGGGACTGTTCTTCGGGAGGCAGTGTTGAAGTGGTTAAAATGGTGACTCTTAGGATAGATTTGGGTTCAAGTCCCAGTCTTTCATTTACTAATGTGGCCATTTTGAAAAGTGGAGTTAAGCCCTGGGACTCTCAAGTCTGAGTTTCCCCGTCTGTCGAGTGAAGATTGTATCACTCCTTACTTCATGAGACTGTGGGTAGGAAGGGATAAAGATGCTAACGCAGGTAAGGGCTTAGCCTCCAGTAAATGCTTATTAAATCTTGGTTATTACTGTCACCACTAAGATTCATCAGTGGAGCACAAGATTGGAACTGCCTTAAAAATATATATGTATTCGAGTAGAGAGGAAGGGTGAGGGAGAGAGAGATAGAAACATCAATGACAAGAGAGAATCATTGACCAGCCGCCTCCCGCACACCCCACACTGGGGATCGAGCCAGCAACCTGGGCATGTGCCCTGACTGGGAATTGAACCGTGACCTCCTGGTTCATAGGTCGATGCTCAACCACTGAGCCACGCCGGGTCAGGCAAGGTTGGAACTGCTTTTGATGCTGGAAACGAAATTGGACTTGGAGCTAGTGCCGATGAATAGCGTTAGGAAAGGGAGGTTTTTTATTTATTTTTTCAGACAGCAACTAGAGCGGATCTGGGCATCGATGTTGGGTTTGCCTCTGGGCATGTTACTGAGTAAATGCGGTTGAATCTAAGGACAGGGAAGTATTCTCATCTGGAAGAGACTTTGCTCATTCAATTCACACTCATCCGACAGATGAGGAAACGTAGATGTGAAGCAATGGAGAGACTTATTCCAGGCTACAGGGACAGTTAGTTCCTCCCCCCACACCACACCCCTCCACCCCTGTTCAGATCAGAGAGACCCCAGGGCTTGAGTTGGCTGAGAGAAAAAGGTCCGAAGGTAGAGGGACTAGAGAAGGTCTACGCCTTGGACAGACACACAGGGCAAAGCGAGGTCAGGTATTGGGGGGCTGGGCGTGCGGACCTCACCGGGTTGCCTCTCCTCCCCCAGTGGGCGGCCGCGTGGACTTTGACGACTTTGTGGAGCTGATGACCCCCAAGTTGCTGGCAGAGACGGTGGGGATGATCGGCGTCCAGGAGCTGAGAGATGCCTTCAAGGAAGTGAGCTGAGGTTTCACCATGTGGGGGTGGCTCAGGGACACCCAGGGGCCAGTGACTTGTCATGTAAAGAACTGGATTCTAATCCCATTTCTGCCTCTAACTATAAAAGGTTGAGAAGTCACTTAATCCTTTTTGTGTAAATTGAGCACCCCCTACTTTGTGGGCCTAATTCCCCATACAAATTTTTAAAAAACTGAACTGGAATGACTTGACATGATGCCACCCATTCTCATTTGCAGGACCCACAGCTTCCCCTCACTGCCATTCCCACTCCTGAGGGCAAACCCCCACCGCCCCAGTGTCCATGTCCATTGGTTATGCTAATATGCATGCAAGTCCTTTGGTTGACCCTTGGACAACACAGGTTTAAACTGCGTGGGTCCACTTTTATGGGGTGTCCCCCCAATATATACACACACTTTGAATAATTATGAAGGCAGTGGTTATTAAAATACAGTTCATTTCTAAATCGAGCTGTCAGCTGCTAAAGGGTGTATACATTTTTGCGGGGACACCTTGCCTGTGGCTTTTTTTCAATACACATTTTGGAAAATTTTTCGGAGATTTGTGATGATTTAAAACAACTGACAGATGAACCTCATGATTTTTAAAAATCTTATTTATTTTTTAAATATATATTTATTGATTTCAGAGAGGAAAGGAGAGGGAGAGATAGAAACATCAATGATGAGAGAGAATCATCAATTGGCTGCCTCCTGCACGCCCCCTACTGGGGATCACGCCCACAACCCGGGCACGTGCCCTTGTCTGGAATTGGCAGTTCACAGGCCGATGCTCTATCCACTGAGCCAAACCGACCAGGAGGTGATTTTGTTATACCGTTTTCTTTAGCCTATTGTGCACATATAACATAGGTGTTGGCGGACGGGTTTCTGTATCAGTGAAGCTTGCGGTCAGCAGGGGGCTATAGTCGTTGAGTTTGGGGGGAATCAAAAGTCACAAGGCAGGCCCTGACCGGTTTGGCTCAGTGGATGGGGCGTCGGCCTGCAGACTGAAGGGTCCCAGGTTCGATTCCAGACAAGGGCACATGCCCGGGTTGCGGGCACATCCCCAGTAGGGGAGTGTGGAGGAGGCAGCTGATCAATATTTCTCTCTCATCGATGTTTCTAACTCTCTATCCCTCTCCCTTTCTCTCTGTAAAAATTCAATAAAATATATTTTTAAAAAAAGACACAGGCAGGCTTTTGACTGGGCAGGGGGTCGGCGCCCCTCGGCCCCCAAGTCATTCAAAGGGTCACCTGCACCGGCCCCTCCTGCTCCTCTTCAGTTTGACGGCAACGGGGACGGGGCGATCACCCTGGGGGAGCTGCAGCAGGCCGTGCGGAGGCTGCTGGGGGAGGCGCTGAGCGCGCGGGAGCTGGCCGAGGTGGTCCGGGAAGCCGACGTGAACGGAGATGGCACCGTGGACTTTGAAGGTGAGCTGCCAACCCCTGACCCTGTGTGATGCCCCAAGTGGGCTGCTCCTTCCCGCTCCCCCCCCAGCTCCAGGTTGGGGGTGGGCAGGGCTGGGGAGGGTTTTTGCTGCAGCCCTTTCTGCCCACGTCATTTCAAAGACCTTGGCGTTGCCCCGGTTGGTTTGGCTCAGTGGTTGGAGCGTGGGCCTACACACCAAGGGGTCCCAGGTTTGATGGTTTGACTCCTGGTCAAGGGCACATACCTCGGTTGCAGCTTCCATTCCTGACCCCGGTCAGGGCGTGAACGGGAGGCAACCAATTGATGTGTCTCTCTCACATTGATGTCTCTCTCTCTCTCCTTTCTCCCTTCCTTCCACTCTCTCTAAGAAATCAGTGGAAAAAATATCCTCGGGTGAGGATTCAAAAATTAAATAAACAACAAAGACCTCAGTGCCTCTCCCCTCCCCTCGCTTCTGCCCCTGGCTGCTCCTGGGGACACCGTGTCCAGGAGCCTAAGGCTCGGGCAGGACTCGCGGCCACGGCCCCCTCGCGTCTGTGTTCACTGGGTGCCTTTGTCATCGGAACAAAATGTCCCATCGGAGGGAGAGTGGACTGGCCAGCAGCTGAGACTCCGGGGTCAGGTTCCCGGGGTTTAAGTTCAGTCTCTTACTAACGCTATGGCCTGAGCCTCGTCACCCATTCACTTCAAGTGTCAGTGTTCACATCTGCAAAATGGGCGTGATGACGCTTTTCTCCCAAAGCTTTGGAGGAAATGAAAAGGAGCCATATCCTGCCCTGGGGGGTGCAGCTCAGGGGTGAGAGCACCGACCCCCACACCAGAGGGTCTCAGGTTCAAATCCTGGTCAAGGGCAGGTTTGATCCTGACCCCGGTGGGGGTGTGTGGGGGAGGCAACCAATCGATGTGTCTCTCATGTAGATGTTTCTCTCTCTTTCCCCCTCTTCCTTCCCTTCCACTCTCTCTTTCTAAAAAGAAAAAAAAGCAATAGAGAAAAGATCCTTGAGTGAGAATGAACAAAAATTAAAATGACATAAAAGAAAGCATGCACCAATTGCTCCTTTAAAAAAAATTCCCACTCAAGGAAATGTCATTTTTATTTTTTAAAAAATATATTTTATTTTATTTTTTTAAGAGAGGAAGGGAGAGGGATAGAGAATTAGAAACATCTATCAGCTGCCTCCTGCATACTCCTCACTGGGGATGTGCCCGCAACCAAGGTACATGCCCTTGACCGGAATCGAACCTGGGACCCTTCAGTCTGCAGGCCGATGCTCTATCCACTGAGCCAAACCGGTTAA